GGGGCGCTCCGCACGTGGCGTTCCAGAGAGAGAAGCCCCTCTCTGGAAGGTCATGCCATGTCATTGTCGTCGGAAAGGGTGAGGCGACACTGGTTCTCCCTGGACTGCTGGGGTCCAAGGGAGACGCCGAGCTGGCGCCCAAGCCTCTCGTGGTCGAGGCCGATGGAGGGGAGAGATTGGATGGCGGTGTGCGCCCGTACCAACTCTCCTCCTACCGTGATGATGAAATCTAGGCTCCCGAAGCGCACGTGTGCACCTAGGACCCAGCTGACGTTGTGGTTAGCCATCCGTGGCCTGGTTTGGAACGCGTAAAGGCCCCTACCTGGCGCGCCAACTGTCGATGTTTTGAAAACCGGCTAGTAAATTTATAATTGATGCGCGTTAGGCCCGGATGGTGCGCTAAAGGACACAAGGTTTATACTGGTTCAGGCTGAATGTCCCTACGTCCAGTCTGTTGCTGCTCGTGTTATTAGCATCGGAAAAGGTTCGTAGTAGGGGGTACAAACGGTCGAGAGAGGGACTGGTCCCAAGTCTCTAATGGAAAAGATTGAAAGGATGCCAAGAGCTTGGTCGCTGCTTGGCTGCGTGCGTGATGTGTTGTGCCTGTGTCAAACTAGTCTTTGTGTGAGTCGTCCGTCAAAAGTCGGTCCCCTTAGTGGGGAGCCCTGCCCTCCCTTTTATAGACTAAGGGAGGAGCAGGGGTTATAGATGGGAAAAAGAGGAAAATACCAAGGGTATAGAAGGTCCTTCAAAGGATTCGGGTCTTCCTTTTTTCTCGTGCCTACCCTGCTTAACATGGCAGACCGTGTCAGAAGTGGCATGTTTGTTGATCTTTGTAGGCCATGCCCTGGCCCCATTTAGCAAGTGGGTGCGTCCCATCCCATGCCGGCGGATGGTGCGGCGTGCCGGAGAGCCGAGCAGTGACCCCTCGGGGAGTAATCGGTGAAGCGACCATACGTCCGTTACTGTAGATGATGTGAGTTCTATCTTGGACCATAGCAGTCATCGTATGCCAGTGTTAGTATCCGCGCTCGAGGACTGAAGGCAGCACCTACTACACTGTGGGACAAAAGCCGGTGCCCTCAACACTATTTGGGCATTGTTATGAGGAAAAGGGCTTTAAAGCACCCGTCCCATCGTGTTCTGACGGTGCCTTCGTACAGTCGCACAGGGCATGGCCCTCGACATCATGGTTGACTCGTACGTCCTGTCGTACCCCGTGTTTTGTCTTTAGGAAGGATCAGAGTGCAGTCGCGGGGCAAGGCGAAGCTAGCCCTTAGTCGTCGAGTGAGGTCGAACCTGCCCTCGGGCGTCGGGCGAGGCGGAGTCTTGCTTTTAGCCGTCGGGCGAGGCAAAACCTGGCCCGACGTCGGGTGAGGCGGGGCCCGCCCTCAGCCCTCGGGTGAGGAGGAGCTGGCCCTCAGCCATTGGGCAAGGCGAAGCTGGCCCACGGGCGTCGGGCGAGGTGGAACCAAACTCCCGTCATTTGGGCAAGAAGCGTAGTAGTGCTCTTGTCCGTCCGGGAGTGTTTAACGTTCAATGGTTATTAGTTCCACCTCCTTGGGTACCCCGGTATTAGGTCCCCGACAAATGCCCTGTTCGGTGCCCGCGCAGAAACAGCCCCAAAGGGCCAACGACTCTATTTGCTTGTGTGGCTATAAATAGAGAGTGTGGCCAGCCTTGGCCTCTCTCTTGGCACCTCATACACTTGTGCACACCCTTTGGGAGCTAAGCAAACACAATCCACTTACTTGTCAGACTGGGCACATTTTCACCGAAAACCGAAGACCGAACCGAACCGCAACGAACCAAACCAAAATTTCGGTTTTTTCGGTCTTCGGTTTCGGTTTTGGTTTTAAGTTCAGTGAACTTCGGTGTTCGGCCTCAGTTTCGGTTTCTAGGTGCCACCGAACCGAAACACCGAGCAACCAAGCAACGTTCAATAGCAAGCAACACAGGCTAAATAAAAGCAGCGAGCCAAAGAATCAAAGACACGGAGCAAAGAAGCGGCAACCAGCCCAATAAAGGCCCACCACACTCCAAGTCTCCAAGTTACACGAGTATAGCCCACCCAATTGCCGACGTGACCAGTATCACTCATTCACTCGTCCCAACCCTATCCATCCATCCACGCACCACGCAAGTTGCGGTAATGCTGCAGCGGCGCATCGGTGATGGGTCGGCGGCACTCGTAACCCTAGCCTGCCCTCGAGTCGAGGCGCGTGCGCGCGCGACTTTAGGTGTGGCGGCGCCGCACGTGATGCTAGGCGAGCGGCGACAGTGGCGGGTCGCTTTCGGTGAATCGATAGTTGAGGCCGACGGCAACGGCTTGCTGGCCAGGCAAATCGGCGGCGACGCGAGCAACGCGGCGGGACCTGGAAGGCGAATCGCCTGCGACACTCGTCGCGAGCAGCACTAGCACCTACGAGCGCGAGTTGAGCAGGACATCGAAGTGGGACATCACGGCTGCGGGCGGCATCAGCGGACCACTGTACCTTGCTCGATTTGTTCGTTCTGCCGATCTTCATTCTTCCTATTGATTTGTTCTGGTGTTTGCCTCGGTTGGTTCGGTGGAACCGAAAAACCGAACCGAGGAAACCGACACCGAATTCGTCGGTTTTCGTTTATGTGGAAAACCAATCGGTTGTTGATTTCGCAAACCGAAGTTTACAGGAGCCGAACAAACCGAACCGATTCGTCGGTTTTAACCGAATGCCCAGGCTGACTCACTTGCACACTTGATTTCATCATTTGAGTGAGATTGGTGAGCCTCTAGTGCATTGCATTGAGTTGCATCATCTTGTGGCACTAGGTGGAAGCTTTGGGCTGGTCGTGGTCTTATTATTCTTGGTGTTTGCCGACACCTCGATGGCCCGGTGATTGGAGGATCTATGAGCGGAGTTGGTGATTGTCTCCGGCTTCAATCGGTTGCTTGTGAGAGGTTCTTGACCTTTCCCCGGCGGAGAGTGAAAAGGTACTCTATTGGATTGCTCGTGTCATTGAGCTACCTCACTTGTGATAGGTTTTTGTGGCACCAAGTGTTGGCTAGGTGTGTGATACCTATTAGCCACCGAACCACCAAGTGTTGATCGACACAACGGGGACTAGCGTGCCGACAAGCACGTGAACATCGGGAGAAAAATCATGTGTCTCTTGTCTCTTTGGTTATCTCCCGGTGTTCATTGGTATTCACATTGATTGATTGAGCGCTTGCCTCGGACGGTATAATCACCCTACCACTCTCCTTTGCACTACTTTGTTTCATACTTGTTGTAGAGGTAGTAGTGTAGTGTAGCTCTCTTGCGAGGTAGTTGTGTAGCTTAGTGTAATTAGTTGCTCTAGTTAGCTAGCTCACTAGTGTAGAATTAGTGACATAGCCTTGTGTGATCTAGAGACAATAATCAATTAGAATTGTTGGTGTAGGTGGCTTGCAACCGTTGTAGAGCTAGAGCAAAATTGCATTTTGCCTTTTAGGTTACTAACCACTTGCTCTAGTGTTTTGTAGAGATTTTAATAGGCTATTCACCCCCCCTCCCTTCTAGCCATTTAGGACCTTTCACCGTGCCAGCAGGCCCCCGCCCGCGCCTGCATATCGCACACCCACGTGGGGCACGCATACCCCTCCCGCTTCAATTCCCACGCGCATATCATGTACAACACCCCCATCTACTTTTAAAACATCCAGATGCAATGCTTGCAACATACATCTGAAGACAGATGAAACACTTGAAACATGCATCTAAAACACTTGAAAAACACTTGAGAAACACATGAAAATCATTGCAAACATACACAATATCTAGATAAAACACTTGCAACGTATGTGTAAAACATATACAACATACGTCTAAAAAACAGATGAAACATTGGGGATAGACGCTTGCAACATACGTGTACAATCATTGCAACATGTGCAACATCCCGATCTACTTTTTGCAACATCCGTATGAAACACTTGCAACATACCTCTAAAACATCTGAAACATTTGAAATGTACGCTTACAACATTCATCGTATCCCGGTGCGGCTTCCTCCACCGTCTGTATCGGGGCGCCGGGGCCATCGCAGGGCCAGAGGGCTTCCGTGTCAGGGCCCAGCACTTCTCCTTACGCCGACAGCGCCTATCGGCATCATCAGACGCAAGCACGCGCAGCGGCAGCCTTGGGTGGCCAACTTGCGGCCAAGGAAGTGGTCCCCATGCGTGGGCGCGGCGGTGCCCGCGTCGTTAGGCAGGGTTGGTGGTGGAGCAGGAGCAGCGGCGAAGGGAGGTCCAGTGGAGAGGAAAGATGGCGCCAAGTAGGCGGCCGGGCACACCGCAGCAATCACTGTGGGGCACGACGGAATCCGCGACGGCACGGACAGTGGAGGTCGCGTCTGGGCGAGTGGATTTTTTTTTTTACAAACTTCGGGAGTCTGAGTTGTTGAGGGCGAGACGTAGTGGCCTGTTTGGGCCATCGCTGCCCACTACATCAGGAGCATCCGAACGCCCTAATAAGAGCATTTGCGTAACATAGACACTTCAGAAGTTAGAGGACCAAAATGACATAGCCAGACAAATTTGAGGACCAAGCGTAAAATTTACTCCTAAATATATCTATCTAGCTGCAGTAAAAGATACGTACTTAAAAAAGCAAGAACGACGACTAACAATTTAGAACGGAAACAGGCGCCCAGGGCCACGAGGAGGAAGACGCAGCCAAGGTGGAGATGAGGCTTGACACTGGACAGAACAGCGGCGTTCCAGGGGGAAAAAACAGTGTTGCGCCATCATTATTAATTACGGTATATGGCTCTCTGCGCTCGTTTCCAGACAAGTAAGCATGGGACAGGATGTGAGTACAACGCAAGCACACCTACAAAAGAGGGGCAGAAGGCACACAACTGCCGCTTAGTGTTACAACTTTACAAGCGTATTCCAGGTTATGCATTATACACATTGCTTTGAGCTACGGTACTATATGGAAACAACCAAACTGTTCGTTTCCAATGTATCTAGTCCTTCAGTATCGACGGCCGCCACCAGTCGACAAGAGCACTCTAGTTGCTTTCTTACCCTTCTTCCCAGCGCCATTTGCTTTCTGCATCTCCGAGTTGTCAGCTGCAGCCACAGCTCTGCTGGAAGATATGATGCTGGCAAATGATAATGCGGGTGTCGCTAATGGCCCTGCATATAACAGAAATATATTGTTACCGCCAGGACTTCATTGGAAATCAGGTTCTAATTGTAATACACTGATAAGTGTCCAAACTCCTAAACAGACCAGGTATCTCGTACCTTGGTCTCTTGAGTTTTCACTTTGGCCATTTGCATCCCCAGTTCCGAGTCTTAGGGGAGGTGAGTCTTGAGCAGATGCAAAACCCAGGCGTGTTACGTCAGAGAAAAGCTTCCTTTCACTGACTGGTGGACTGGTGGATGGCCCAGCGTTGTTTCCCAGAGCTTCAGTGGAAAGAGACATCAAAATCAGCGCCAACAAGAATGAACCCAATGCGGGCGTGCGTAATAAAGCAGATGAGAAAATGGGCAACAGCCAAATGCAAACAGAAAACTGTGATTTTAAGGATATCAACAACAAGCAGGGGGGTCAGACTAATTATGGAACTCTATTCAAAGTTCAGTAAATTTACCTTCGAAGTCATCCAGAGAGAACATGACATCGTTGTGACTTTGAGAGGAATTTGCATACTCAAACCGCATAGCTGATGCCTGCACAGCAGCAGCAACTTCCGCCTTTGCTCTCTCACTTTCTTCCTATAAAAACAGAGGAAACAAGTGAAAAGGAGACAAAACAGGCCACACACAAGCAACATGGAAAGCAAACCATGAAACTTAATGGCCCTTGCACAGAATGATGACCTCCTCATACTGTATTTGGATTCCAATTGCATCTAAATTTCCAGAAATGGCCAAGGTCCAAATTAACCAATTAGGTAAGCAATTTGTAGGTGATAAGCATTGTGAATTAGAGTTGCAAAGCGGCATGTAATCAGACCGTTTTTCTACCTATTAATGAGATGACACGCAGCTCCTGTGTGTTCGAGAAAAAAAGAAGAGTTGCGAGTTATATTATGCCTGATGATTCTGCGCTCATCCTTGCTAGACATATACAAGGTTTCATGTGCCTCTTTAAAAACAAACTAGCTGCCAAAACCAGTTGTAAAGGGCTTCACCATCCCCCAGATGGGATTCTTCCATACTCCCTCCGTTCAAAATTATAAGTCGCTTTGACTTTTTTGGTTCATCCATTTTGCTATGTATCTAGACATATTATTATATTTAGATGCATAGCAAAATGGATGTACCAAAAAAATCGAAGCGACTTATAATTTGGAACGGAGAGAGTACTACTTTTGGGAAAAAACCAACAAATATAAGACAAAACCAAGCAGTAACAAGAACAAAATTTGCATCTAGGCATTGTACAAACATCATTGTTAAGCAATGAGAAAGCCAATATGCAAATACCTAATATTCATCAACTAACTCTTTTAACAGTTACCCAATTCAGGGCACAATCTAGATCTGGCAAATCCAAAGGGGTTGACTGCTACATAGCACAGGCAAATCAAAGTGGCATTCTTAATGATCATCAGATTTTTCAGATCCAGTTTTCCAAAAACCTGGCCACTTTCACTACTAAACAGTTCCAAGGCATTTATATCATGACTCCTAGGGCAATCCATATTTCAGACCCCAAGAAACTTAATTTGCAATTTTTGTAAACTAAATCTGCAATTGGCTGCCCTCCACCAGGTAACCTGCTAATAACCTGGTGGTTTTGACCCCCAGTCTCTACTACCCTGATGCACATGATAGTTCTGATTCTGAATGATTCAACAAAATAATGTGCAATGCAGCCAACAAACTTGTTACCTTCTTGGCGGCTCGTCTTCTTTGTTTCTCACGCTTCTTGATTTCATCCAAGAATGGAGCCAATGAGCTAGGAGATACTATATCACTCAGGTCAATTTCACAGAACTGCATAATGTGTCACAGATGTGAGGCATGGTCATTGGCCAAGAGCAAAACTTGATCTTCACACCAACTTCACCTGCATGTGGATGTTAATAAGAATACCAAATTTACCTGGAATGTAGTTGTTAATGAAAAGTGACTCAAAAACCGATAGCGCTTCCTTATAGCCTCAGACTGTGTTACAGTTTCCAGCTCCAATATTTTTGCAGTTATTCTGTGTACAAATTAGCAAAGTCAGTAACATCAACGTGATTCAAGCACCAATCAAAAACAGCAACAGTATTAAAGTGACAAAAGATACTGGCATTGTGGTAGCACTTCAAAGTAGTTTTTATTCAAAAAAATTATGGGGCTGCAACAGGAAAAAAAAATCATAATTTTCCACAAAGAGTGTGGCGCAGAAACTAATCTTAGAGCTACATGGTAACCAATGGCTACAGAAAAATTGACTTGAAACAGGGATGATGGATTGAGATAATTGATACTTACCTCCAGTCAAAAATACTTGTTGCATTTGACCTTGCAAGGCCTTTGATACATATCTTTGACCACTAGTTTCTTAAAAAAGCGTACCCAGTGCAGAGAGCTCCCGCTCTGTGCGGGGTCTGGGGAAGGGTGTCAGTGGCCTTAAAAAAGCCTTGCCCTCGCCTGTGCAATGCGAGGAGACCGCGACTCAAACCCGGGACCTTCTGGTCACAAGCGGTAAGACTCTACCGCTTGCACCAGGCCTGCCCTTCTTGACCACTAGTTTCTTCTAGTAAATATTTTTAAAATCCTTCAAGTCTGATATTTTGCAAGTCTACTTGTATACAAAACTACACATATATCTTATGTGTTTCCACACCCAGATCCACCGTGCAGCGACCTGGGCCGGTCGCCCGGGCTCTACCGGAGTGCAAAAGAGATGTGTCTTGTCTAAAGGATAAACATAATATGTTGTAGGTAAATACTCTTGTATAGTGAGGATCAACCAGGCTCCAAGAAATTCCTGGATCCGACACTTAATGTTTCCAATTCAATAATCGAAAAGTTAAGTATTTGTACTTTTTATTAAGGTTTGACCAAATATTGTCCTAAACGACATGTTTTTATGACAAGAGGGAGTAATAAATTGGCTTAAGACGACTAAAATCGCACATTCAGTTTAACGATTCACACACATTTGTGAGAACCCCAAGCGCAAAACATCTTTGACTGGACCAAATACTGCAAATAAATATGCAAAAACATCAATCCCTCCGACTAACCTAATTGTCACAGGTCAACTGTAGCTGCAGAGTACAACATGCCTCACACGTCGCATGTAGGCACTATCTGTGCTCTTGGACATTCAGGTAGATTGTAGTGCTAGAAGCAAATAAGGGCATTCTAATAGTGCTAGAAGCAAATAAGGGCATTTTAAGTCAGTATCTTGAAGTCCTTATTCCTTAAACAGAATGCAAGTTACACTACCATACTAGAGTTGCACTTGCACGGCAACAACAAAATAGTGTGTAAAGGTGCTAGAACTAAACTTTCAGGGAATAAGCAAAGATCATATTACCTAGGTGGAAGCATATCAGAACCTCCGAAATGGTTTAGAAGACATCTCATGTTTAGTGGATGAAGAATTAGGTGTTGGCCATCTGACACCTGCAACAATATTTAAAGCCATCGGAAACTAAAGAATATGTGAAACCACAACTTGGAAAATTCATCAGTATCAAAAGCCTGAAAATCTCAGACCTGGTAAAATATGTATGGATCATGTTCATTTGAATCAATGGTGGTGGTACATTTCTCATTTACTTTAGACATTGTTCCTTTACCAGAGCTTGTGCTCAACTCAGGAGACATGGAGAGTTCTGAAATACCATTGACCATATCTCTATCTGAAACAGAGGAGATCTTGTGCCCACTGATCTGGTGAGAAGTATTCACGTCAAAAGAGTTCCTAGACTTGAAACTAGATCCAGGAGAGAAGCTATCTTTTGATGGAGGGCTACCACCATAGTTTCTGTACTCAATCCAATATTTCATCCTTTCTTCCAGTTGCTCCAAAGCAGCAGAAACATATGGAAGTTTCTCCAAGTCATCAACAAGGCCTAAGTCAGCCATATGCAACCAATTACTAAGATCCAATTTTGCCTCTCGAACAGACAACTCCACGTCAGATGTCAAAATAAACTTTGAGAAAACATTATATGGATCTTCATCTGCTGTAGAACTTTCACTGGAGGAGATTTTAATGGAAGGAGTGAGCGAATTTCTTGACCGGCTCAGAAGTGTAAATGTGGCAACGTCACCAGCACAGAAATTCTGGACTTGAGTAACTTGTATTGTATACAAATCCTTTGTTGATACCATCATGAAACACAGAGGACACTTCTTCCAGCACTCACCTCTATAATCCTCTTTGCCCATCATTAGATAACGCAAAATGCATGGAAAGCAATATATGTGTCCGCATGATGTGATCTGTGGGCACAATGGGCTTTCCAAACAAATAGGGCATTGTACCTCAGAAGGGCTATAGTACCTTACACAGATAATATCTTCCCACTGAAGCATCTTATCAGGATCCATTGATTCAATCTGGTAATTCCCAGTATCCAACACAACAAACTTATAGTTTGCTTGGAGGAACAGATCCTTGTTGTAAGGTTTGATCTTCCTTTGTCTTCTGGGAGGATATGTTCTAGGGCCTCTGGGCTGTGGCCGAGAAATAGGATCATACTGGAAATTCAGGAGGTGATTGGCATTCACGGCCTGATTCTTCCTGGCAGCTATCTGAGTCCCATTACGCTGAAGTCCAGTAGAACCTGAAGCCAAATGGTCAGCCTGAAGGGATCCCAACATTTTAGGTCTCTCGGGATATGACCCAACTGAGCCAAAACTATCTACAGTGAAACCCGAATTCTCCTGTTCTGAAGGGTGGCATTCTGCAATATTGCCAACCTCTTGAGTACATATCTCTTCCCCAGATATTATAAATCCAACTACCTGGAAGTTATTGCATTTTATCAATATGTTAAGAGCAGTAACTGGAGTATTTAACGCTAATGTGCAAAGAAAAGATGAAAATGGCAATAAGCTCCTCAAGCACTTCACCTTTTCGGGAGCATTAATAGATTCTCTAATAGCTGGAACCACTGGGTCTGCAAAATACGAATTGCATTGTAAAGATTAATCTGAAAACAGGAGGGCTAAAAATGGCATGGCATCAACGATGAGAATGCAACATGAAGTTATGCATACTAGTCTAACAAGAACATAATGAAAAAGCTGACTTAAGATCTTAATAATAACCAAGTTGTGAAAGTGAAATAATGAGTATGATGACACATTGACACCATAACAGCATGTATAGAGCGGCTTGATTGGAAATAACAAGCAAATCAAAGGCAAGTATCTCCATTGCCATTGGAATATTCACTTCCAATATTAGTACTACACTGGGAGATGTCCATATGAAAACCAGTTGTTCAAAATTCAAAATTCAAAATGCTAGCACTAGAGCTTCAGTAGCATATTTTTTTCACTAGCTCTAAAAGAACCAACTGTAGGGTAAAAAACTTGTAAATTAAAGGTCACTGCTGATCTAACTATAAGACGTTCATTTTTATGAAAAATTGTAACTTGATCAGGTAAACATTCAATATGAATTTCAGCCATCGATGCGCTGATACACAAAATATGGTCAGATTTAAACATCTAGATCTAGACGACCTGTACACTAGACAATCTTATTCTTAATGCAATGTATTGAATCATTGTCATACATAGAGTTAGGCACACAGATCATGACCATATTGTACACTAAAAACAGAGTGTGGCCATCAAATATATATGGAGAAACAATGGTTATGATGAAATCTAAATTATGTTGCTACTGTATTTTCTGCTGGATAAGAACTGAATCAAATGAAAAAAACTATCACCTGGGTGTCTGAATCTAAACTATACTTTCGTCCTTCAACACAATAAACAGCAACTCAGCAAATGTTTTGCATCCAAATTCAATCAAACCTAATAGTAGCAAACATACAGTAACTACACTTAACCATCCCGCTTGACCAACCCCAAGCCCACGAGCATTTATGCACGCGAAATTTGGCTCCAGGCTATCAAATCATTCTCAGCTCAGCATAAAACCTAGAATCCATGGCCAATCACATGAGTTAAGCCGCTGAAAATCTCAGTCCCTAATGCGCAAAGAGAACACTGTAAACTTGCTAGGGGAAAAAAATTCCATCCAAGCTTGTGCTCAGCCAAGGCACCAGCTGGCGCCAAACAACGGCACGCAATCAAACCAACACCACAGCAGCTGGTAGCTCTCAAAGTAACAACCAACCGAACCTAGATCCAGCCTCACCGGGAATAGGCGCGTTAAATCGATCTACGGGGGCAGGGGAACGATTGGGGAGGAAAACTCACCGGAGCTCGAGCCGACACAACCGTCTCCGGCCGCCGCAGCGGCGCCGGGTGGCGAGACGGATGCCGGAGGGGAGCGGCGGCCGTGGCGGCGTCTGTCGCTGCCATGTTGGGGACTAGGGCTAGGGTTGTGCGGGCGCGAGTAATAGTGTCCTCCGGTGCGTTCGCGTGGGGAGATGGACATGAACCCGGGCGGGAGCTCGTGGGGTGGGTGAGCGGCGCTCGGTCGGTCGGCGGCGACGGAGAGGGCGGTGGCGCGGGGAAAGGGACAAGGTGGCGTGGGATTAATACGGTCGATGCGTGGTAGGATCGCCGGGTGTTAGGCGTTGGGCAGGCAAGGCCGCGCTCACGTGGACCAACCCACGTGTGGGGTGATAAGGGGTGAAGAGAAATGCGAGGCCCTGACGTCAGTAGCGTGGTGTTGGGGAATACTGTGGACTGCGTTCATGCGATGGGGAGTAGGAGGATATGAGGTTGACGGGTTGAGTAACGAAGTATGCGTCGACGATATGGATTTAAAAAACGGAACGTCCAAACAAAGATTTAAAAAGCAGAAATGCTAGGGTCAGTCCGATCGTCCGGAGCGTCCACCTGCCGTCTGCGCCACCGTCACATGTGCCGCCCCCACCCTACTCTTTGTGCGTCGCCGCTCAGCTCTGTGTCATCGGCGAGCACACGGTGACCTCCACGCGCCACTCAACCACCCTATGTGCCAACGCCACCCGTGCGCCCCACCTCGCCCTAATGCGCCGCCGCACGAGCACACCAGTGACCTCCACGCGTCGACGAGCCTTCGTAGCAGTAAGGAGATGTTTGCGCCGAAAGAGCACGTTGCAAACGTATGTTTCAAGTGTTTCAGGTGATTGAGAGGTATGTTGTAAGTATTTTATATCGATGTTACAAAAGTAGATTGGGATGTTACACATGTTGTAATAGGTATACACGTATGTTTTAAGTATATGTTCCAAATATTTCATTTTTATCAGATGTATGTTGCAAGTGTTCTATCTGGATATTGCAAAAGTAGACCTAGATGTTGCATATACATGCATGCTGCAAGCGTATGTTTCAAGCATTCCAGGTGTTTGATATGTATGTTGCAAGTGTTTTATCTAGATGTTGCATATGTTTGCAATGGCTTTCAAGTGTTTTTTCAAGTGTTCTGCAAATGTTTTAAGACATATGTTGCAAGTGTTTCAGGTGTTTCAGACATATGTTTCAAGTATTTTACGTGGGTGTTGCAAAAGTAGATCTGGTATTGCACATGTTGTAATAGGACCCACCTGCCACATCCACCTGCTGCAGTTGCTGGGTGGCGTCCGGGTGGCATGGGCCCGCTGCTAGGATGCCACCGAACGGACACAGACAGGCGCGTGAGAAATCGAGCGCGGGTGTGAGGGCCTACACAGTGGGCGGGCAAAAAAAAGGCGTCACGGGCTCCACTTCTCTTGCGTGCGCGCCACTGTCCGATGCTAGCGCTTCGGATCGAACGTCCAGACGCTAATAAGTTTTTAAAAAAAACAAATAACCTTTTTAGAAAAAGATATTTTAAAAGTAATAATGTGTTTTAGTTTTATAGGAAAATGTGTGAGTCCCGGCTGCTATGCCAAGCCGCTCACACGTGAATTTGTATGCTCATTCTTTGTCTCTTCCTTTCATCTTTTTATTTAAACCCAAGCATTCTCAAGTTCTTTTGATACAGGTATAACTCAAGCATAGAGGGGCATGTGAATAAGCGTAATTTAAAACTTTAAAAACTTTATAGCGGATTAAATCACAGGTACCGGAATTTTCAGTCCCAGTCGGAATTTCCGGACTTGTCTAGAAATTCCAGTGAGGATCAAATTTTCAGGTCTTAAGAGCGGAATGAGCTAACTAGGGTTACGGAATTGAAATTGCTCAAACACTAAATTGTTTTACCACACGTGTAGGGAAGTAATACAAAGTGATTCCATGTTGTCATTTGCTCCAACACCTACACACGATATAGATAGGGCCACCACAATAAATAATACTCCCTCCGTCTACAGAAGAATACAATTCTCACAATTCGAGGAGTCAAACCATTTAAACTTTGACTACAATTATATAAAAAACTACTTACACCCATTTGACAAAACAAATACTATTAGATTAGTTATAAAATATATTTTCATAATAAATTTATTTAGAGACATAAAAGATAATATTATTTACTATAAATTTGGTCAAACTTAAACCCGTTTGACTGGCACGGTGTAACACCACAGGCGTTTGTCACTAGTTAAGCAATGGGTTTGAACTCAAACATGACATATTAATGATGATCAGGGGCTCTAGTTCAAGTCTTGCAAGAGGTGACAAGGTGTTAACTTCAACTCTCTAAGAATGAGGCCCAACTCAACTATTTGGAAGACAATGAGCAAAGCTAGTTTGATGGTGATTGCCCTTTTCGAGCATGTGATTGAGTAATGTTAAACATGCTTATTCCATGTGCCTCACATCCTCTGCCATCTATATGGGTCACTGGAAAAGTTTCATGAAGTTTGGAATCAAGAAGTCACATGAAATGATAAGTTAAAATCTTTCTTGGATTGCTTTATTAAGTGAATGAGAACATTTGATGACAAACAAACATTGCAACCTTGCTCAAACAACTCTACTTACACTCATGAACAAAAGTTATGAAGGATTCATATTGAGCAAGTGGCCAGAAAATGCTCCAATAGATCAAAAAGGGTAATTTAAGCTTTATCGTGATGCTACCTTGACTTGGTTTGAACTGTGGCTTTAGATGGTTTGCATGGCAGTGGAATCTAAACAAAAGTTAAAGTTTGAGTGGAGTAGAACAAACTTTGTTTTTGGACCAAGAGCTAGATTAGCTTGTAAGCAAGTCAAACCGAGTCCTCAAATTGGAATCCATGGCTATTTTGGGAGCTCGAAATTTGGCTAAGTCTGGGATGACTGAATTTGTGATTTCAGTTTTTGTGTACCCCGCTTTGGAGCCTTGTATCTCTCCCACCAGGCCAAATTAGACTTTTGCACTTTAAGTAAAGTTTGAGATCTCACGTAACTCTACAACATTGGTTACTACCTCTTGTGCTAAAACTAAACGTATTTGGGGTTAAGAAGGGACAAATATTGAGTGTCAGCTTGTATTTTTGAGGTGGTTTTTGATCCGTTCATTCAGTTTGGAACAGGACATGGCCGACCGACTTTGGGTGCCGAGCGCCGCGTGGCCTCCATGCGCGCACGCTGCTCGCCAGCTCGCCCTGCTCTTCTATTTGTGGACCGGCGCTACGTCTCTCTCCCTCCCACTCACTCGCCTCCCTCTCTCGCTCCTCCTCGCTCTAGCTCGCTCTGCTTCGCGCCTGAGCGTGTGCCTGCCATGGCCAAGGCGGGCCAAGCTTGCCATCGCTGCCGTTCCCTGGCCTCCGAGCCCCTCACGACCCACCGCGTGAACCGCCACCTCCGCCTCTTCCTCCTCTAAGATCGGCGCACCTCGGCTGAGCTGGAAACCACCGGAGCAGCCCGGCCGTCGGAGCCGCTGCCGTCGCCGCCGCTTGCTGCAGTGGCAGCGCCGCCACAGGCCACCACGGGCCGTGCTGAAGCCATGCACCGGTGCGCACGAGCCCACGTGTGCTGCGCCGCCACTCCTCGTCGCCGTCTGGCCGCTGGCCGGCCCTCACCGCCATCCTCCCCTGCTCCCTGTGTGTTGAAGAAGACAAAGGACGTCGTGCTCAAATAAGCGTAAAGGAAGGGGTCTAAGTGTGAAGCCGTGACTCAGTTAAATAGTGCCAGAAAGGATCTTTTCGTTCGATTTTAATTTGTGAAAATGCCAGGGTCCCCGATGTAAGATTTACATTCCTTTTCTTTTGATTTTTGCAGATTTGGACGATCAACTTTGAAAATTCATAGTAGTTAGTAGAAAAATCGTAAAATAGTAAATGAGGACTTTTTGAAATCCTTGTGAAATTATCTATGATGTAGATCTATAATGTGGCATGTTTTAGTTTATATATTTTGCTGTAAAAATAGATTTATGTAGTTAGGTTCTTAATACTAGTTATGTCTTGTCTTTTTCATAACTGCAGTTGTGGTGCTCAAATAAATGTGAAATTTTTATGGAGTGTTACTCAGGTGATGGTAGATGTCTGGTAAAATTTTTTATGGTTTAAGATTTGTAAAAATAACAAATGCCATGTGTTGCTTTGCTCCTATTCTGAATAGGCCTGCATGTTTGAATTAATTGGCTCAGTTAAGTTATGAATCATCACTTTATGTCAATACATGAGTTGTAGTACTTTTCTTAATCTTTTCAAAAAGCTAAATAGCATAATTTTTAGTTAAGTAGATTTTTAGTTATAGTTGCTTATATTTCTGTGGTTGTTTCTGCCCAAACCCATATAGGGTTGCCTTGCTGGTACTGTGGGGCCTTTTTAATAGCATAATTAGCTTTAGGTGTTTATAAAAAAGTTGTTTAGAAGTTGCTAAGATTTCTAAAAAGTCTAGAACCACATTTATTGGACATGTAGAACTTTAGTTATAGCTGTTTAAAGTAGCATGTTAGATTCTGTCCATGTTTTGGATAGAGATGCATTTATTGAATTAATTGACCTTGTTAACTGTAGAATCATCTTAAGAAGAGAATAATAAAGTTGTAGGTAACTTCATAAGCTTTTCAAAAAGTTCTTATTCATGATTGTTGGATGTCTAGAACTCTAGTTATGCTTCTCTGAAGTTTCTATCAGTTTTCTGTACCACTGCTGTTTGGGCTGCTTGTGCAGTTTTGCTTGTGCAATTATTTTCATGGTGTAAATGATGTTTGTTGTGGTTGTAGTGAGTACCAAAGTTTTAGATAATTTCATAATCTAGCTTGTGATAGATTTTCATGACCATAGGCCAGATAAATTAGGAGCTATATATTTTGTAAGTTCATTGTCAGATTTTGCATGCTCTCTGTACAGATCTGAATGATTGTGTAATTGGACTTAGCTACGCTTTGAATCATGTCTTGGAGATAATAAAAGAAGTGTAGTGCTTTTCATGAGTTTTCTAAATTGTTAAATATCACTCCTCTTGGTGGTCTAAATCTCCAGTTATAAGCTTGTGAAGTTGTATGGTAGAAT